ATCCCATTCTGCAACGGCTTTCCATGCCAACCCAGATGTGGGATAGAAGCTGGCGGGGACATGAAGGGCTGGGGCAGGTGGTCCGGGACATCGGTGGAGTCGTCTGACCCAAGCATAGGCTTCAGCTGGTTATACAATTCCATTGTTTTTGTTGTTGCTGCTGTTAAATTTGTTTAAGAGAGTGAGTTGAGGTCTTTAGCTCTGGAACTAGCTAACTCAAAGGATGAGAAAAAGGATTTGAAGTCGTGGGCCTCACTGCAGGCAGAGTAAATGTTACCTACTCTGTGACACCTTCCTTGGTCCACAGGCAGCACTGACGCTGTCCCCAGAGAGCAGCCCGGCATCTGTTCCCTTTCCTGCTGGAGCATCTAGGCCAGCAAACAGCAACCTGGACTCTGGACCAAGCATGCACTTGTTGTTATTGTGTGCTGTCGAGTTGATTCCAACTCAGTGACCCCATAGGACAGAGGAGAACTACCCCGTACAGCTTCCTAGCTGTAATCTTTACAGCAGCAGATCGCCAAGTGTTTTCTCCCGAGGAGCCGCAGGTGGGTTTGAACTGTCAACCTTTTGGTGAGCAGCCAAGCACTTTAAGGACTGCGCCACCAGGGCTCCTTAAGCATACAGTAGTCACTCAATAAAGCCTGAGAGCAGAACGACAGCCACACAAAAGTGTGCACTCAAGGTCCCAGTTCCCGCTTGAATCCCACCTGGGGTATTGTTAAGAAAGGCCTTCCTGATCTGGGGTCTGCACGGCCAGTGAGCAGAGCTATGCTTCTTCTAAAATCCAACACCCTCAGCATGCGTTCACTGAGCACTGGACACAGGAGTCAAGGTTCCCGAACCTTCTTCGGGTGGTAGCCTCTGTCTGAGGTTCCATTCCCTACCCCGTCCTTTCCCCTGCCCCTGCCCTCGGCTCCCGAGTGAACTGAGAGGCAACCGTGACACTCGGCTCAAATGCCACCCCTTCTCCAAAGCTTTCTCCAGCTCCTGGGGCAGAGCTCACACCTGTCTGCATGCGGATCCCAGAACACATGGTGCAGACAGCTCCTGTGCCACGTACACAAAGCATGGCAGCGACAGATGCCACAAGGCAAGGGCTACGTCACACTCAACACTGTACACCCGGGTTTAACTGAGCATGGCCACAGCTGACATCCATGGAATACATGCTCAATAAAGGGAAGGATGAGTGAGTGAATGAAAGAACAAGATCCAGGGTTTGTAGTAGGGAGATGTCTCAGAGAGTCATCTAGTTTAATCCTCCTTGTTTTAAAAGGTGGAAGTTCAGGCTCAGCGAGGTTAAGAGCTTCTCAAAGTCACCCAGCCAGTCCTGGGTGGGATTGGGGTAAGGGTCAGACCATCTGGGTTCAAGCTCAGTGCTACACAACTTCCCTGGCTATCTTAGGCTGGGTTCTCTAAAAATGCAAAACCAATGAAGTGTATATACATATACATACATATATATATAGAGAGAAATTTATATTAAGGAAATGGCTTACACAGTTGTGGAGACTGAAAATTCCCAAGTCTGTAGGTCAGGCTGGAGGCTTCTCCTGACTCACGTAGCTGCAGGGCTGATGAACTCAAGATCGGCAGGTAAGCCAGCAAGGTGCTGGCTCACAGGCTGCGGAGGCTGACGAATCCCAAGATCAGCAGGTAAGCCGCTAGCTCAAGTCCCAAGAACCAGAGGTCAGACAAGAATCCAGAGAGAGCAAAAGCCAGTGAGCTTTGCCAGAAAGTCCACATATATTGGATGCGGGCCACACCCTCAAGGAAATGTCCTTTCAACTGATTGGCTGTTATAGCAGATCTCATCATGGAGGTGATTACATCATTACACAGCTGCCAGACTATCTCAGAACTGCCAAACCACTAAGAATCACAGCCCAGCCAAGTTGACATACAACCTTAACCATCAGACTGGCCCTTTCATGCCATCACAGACAGGGACACCCTTGCTTCTCAATGGAAGATGCGGCAGAACGGGGTGGACTCGGAACTCGGGCGGCGCCACCCTGCCCCACCACCCAAGACTGAGATACGGACACTTCAGTACACATTGACCCTTCAACACACCAGCTGGGAAGCCCAGCAAGATGCTACCTTACCCCACGTCTCAAGGAGCTTGAAATGCCAGCCTTTCGTTGAAAAGCATGGAGTAAGACCATGTGAAATCTTTCTGTCTGAGGGCAAAGTGCATCTGGGCCACCAGCCTTGTGCATAGTAGGCCATCAATCAACAGTTGGCTTTTGATCGCTTGGCTCATTCTATGCGAGTCACGGGGAGAACAGATGGCTGGGCCATGTGCTCTTCTCCTACCACCGTCTGCCTGACCCTCACACAGCACTTAGTGCAGGTAGAAACCTCACGCTTCAGAGCGGCACTCATTTGCATGGAGGCAAATCCATAAACACAGCAGCCCTGGAACTTGGGTCACGCCCCTTGGGAGGACCCTAAAGGGGAGGGGCTATGGCTGTGGGGGAGGGCAAGGGTGGAAGAGGAAGCAGATATAGCACAGCTCAGTCCCTGGTGTTGGTCTTCCTTCCCAGGGGCGGATTAACCAGTAAGCAAGGTATGCACGGGCTTACTTGTGTTTACTTACTAATCTGTAGTGCACAATTTCACGGTTTTGTCACATCTTTGATATGGTAAAAAAAACAGGTGAAATTGTGCGCTAGACATTAGTAAATAAGTGCAAGTAAGTCTGTGCATACCTTGCTTATTGGGTCATCCGTCCCTGTTCCCGCCAAGGCTCAGAGTGTTTTATTCTTTACAGCTGTTGGCAGCATTGCTCAAGACCCGAAGCCACGTGGCTTCTTAGGGCTGGCTCACTTTGGGATCAAGTAGCTCAGATTCAGAGCCACCCAGCCCTCACCCACACCACTCCCAGCTGCTGCTAAAGGTGAGAGCCGCCTGGATCAATCCCTTGGGGCCCACCTGGGCGGGACCAGGGTGTCTGGGGAACTCTGGAGCTTGTCCAGAGCTGGCCACACTCTCTGTAGATGTGAACTGATCAGAATGTTCTAGCCAGACAAGCCTCTGTTTGAAATCCCACCCCATTAGGGCTCACAGGCACCAAAGCAGGTTCTGAAAGCAAGCCTCAGAGCTGGTGCAGGAGGGTAGAGCCATCCCATGAGGGCCAGGGACCCCTCCACGCAGCTCAGAAAGAAGAACCTCCCAGGGAAGCCGAGAAAACATCTCCCTCCCGCCTCAGGGGAAGGCTGTGGGCTCAGGGAGCTGGCCAGGGTTCTGAATGTGGCAGCACGCCCTGGCTACAGGCTGAGGATGCAGGTGCCCGTGCTGGGCTGGCCGAGACGCAGGAGGCCTGCGCCCTTGGCTTGGATGGGCAAACACTTTTGCCACCCAGACAATGCTTCTAATTGAAGTTGAACAAAAAGTTTCTCCCAAGAACAGAGGACCCTTGAAAAAGACATGGAAAGGAGAACTGGTGGGGGAAGCGTCCTGTGGTCTGGGAATGGAGGCTTAGGGGTGCCTGAAAATGAGAAACCCACTGTGGCTTGGAGGGCGCTTGGGGCAGCCCCTTCCAGGGCCTCCCAGACCAGGCAGCTCTGGCTGGTGCCCGCCCGGCCGAGATGTCCATGTAAGGCACACGCGGTGCCCAGGCAGAGCAGCCCTTGCTAATCGGGACCTGCCCGGCCCTTTCCTGCACGTGCACGCTCATCCTCGTGGTGAGTGTGTCTGTGTGTGCACATTCGTCTGTCCATCCACAGGATCCCAGCCCCCAGCTTCAGCCAGGCTTCCCCTGTGGCCAAGAGGACCCCCCACTCAGACCTCGCAGAACTGCTCTAGGGGGCTGCCCGATTGTCTGGGCAGTTCCAGGGAAGGGGGTTCTGAGGGACAGCAAAGCCCCTCCCAGACACTGGGGCTTGGGTTGTGCTCCTGGGGCTGAGCCAGGGAGCCAGCAAGGGCTTCAAGACAAAACAAGGGAAGCCTGTTCCAGAGTTTTCTCTCCTCTGATCTCCCTCTTGCTCCATCACCTGCCCTTCTTCTCTCCTTTGTTCCCTCTTTTATCCAGAGAGGGAGGGAAGCAGGGAGTGAGGAAGGAGGGTAGGAGGGAGGGAGGGGAGGGGCAGCTGGGGCCAAAGTGCTGTCTGCCCTTTCTCCTCCTGGACCTGCAACTCCAAAGGCCAAGGTCTCTCACTCAGAGCGTGGCACAGGGGCACCATTGGAAAGGACATTTTAATGTCACTCCCGAGCAGCCGGGCTCCGAAGCTGGCAGGCTCTTCCAACCACCCTGGTGCCAAAGGAATACTCCCAGCCTATCGCACAGACGGAGCTTCTCCTCCTCCCCCCGGACCTGCCTGCTCCGAGATGCATTTTAAAATGGAGAGACTTGCTCTCTATCAGCACATTGTTCTGAGATGACAAGCCCAGCTCCAGATGCCCACGGGTCCCTGCACACACACCCCGCATGTCACTCACACCTCACGCTGAGCATGTGGATACAACCCCCCAAGCCCTCCACACGGAGCCCACCATGCGCCCATTCACCCCTGCCAGGTCTCCACAATCCCCCACCTTCCTAGAGCCCCCAGGGCAGCTGTGCCCAGCGGGCGGTTGGCCATGGAGGGACGGTGGGATGAAGGGAGTTGAGTCCGTTGGTCTATCTCTGAAATTGCATGGGCCTTGGCCATCCTGTTCTCGGTCACTCCCCCCACCCCATGACAATAACAGTCAAAGGAAGGCCTCGTGCCGCCACCCTCTGAACTTCTCGGCAGGGAGTCGGGGCTGGGGTCCTGGGCAGAGGGCGGCGGCAGTGCAGCAGCAGTGGGCCAGGGCTGGGGGCCTTGCTCCGGCGGCGCCGGTCTCGGGCTCTCTGCACCCCTTCCTCCCCCAGGTCCGGCCAGGCTCTCGCCCCCTCCCCAGCCTCGGGGCAGGGGGCGCGCGCGCGCGGAGCCTCTCCCAGACTTGGCCGGGCTCCCGGGGGCCGGCCGGGCGCTGCTCGCAGGGAGGAAAATGGCGTTGGATGCACGTACTTGAGTGAGTTCGGTGCCCATCAGGATGAGGAGAAGGAGGCTGAGGAGCTTCCGGGCCGGCGGCATGTCTCGCGGCCACCTCCAACGTCCTGGCATGCAGGGCCCGCGGTGTGGCGGCGGCTGCGAGGACGCTCGGCTGGCCGGCAGCTCCTGGTCGCGTCGCCGCGCGTGTCCTGGCGCTCAGCACCCGGAGCCGGCGGCGCGCGGGATCTGGCGGGC